TCTGATGCTCTTAAAAACATCAATAGCAGAAAAACCAACAATTACGACAAAGCAACATAAGGCAACGAACGAAAAACTAAGAAGTAAAAAATATTTAATAGTAAGTTTTAAAAGCTCATTCGAAACACTTAGCATAAAATTAGTTATTTGTAGTATTTGTGCAAGAAAGTTTTGGTAAGACCTCCACAAATAATTTTTATATTATGACACTATAAACAATGAAAGACTAAAAAACCTCAAAATGGAAAAAAGAAATAACGATACCAAATGTTACATAATATTATTATTGTTGAGGTGGAGGGTTTCCGTCGCCCGCTGGCGGTGGATTGTTCCCATCATTTTGATTTCCTAGAAAAGCACTAAGTAAATAAAAAATTGAGATTTCTTTCTCTTAAAGAGAGTGAAAAACAAACAGTTCTCGACATGTACATATGAGTACAATTTTTTGAGCACCCCATAACTTTTCGCAATATCTACCTTCCAGTAAAAACAGCAGTTTATCAAAAGCTTCCAAAAAAACTCAAAAAACCGTCTTGAATAAAACCGCAGACGAAAATTTGAAGATTGGCATCTGAACTGTTTCATTTTACGTGAACAGAATCACTACATCCAGACTGCTGTCTTATTCTTCACAGAGAAACTTAAGGAGAATAACCAAATCATTTTTACCTTTCTTTAGTAATGAAACCCATTAAACCAATTTATCCAATGGTTACTACAAGTATTACTGGACAAAACCTGAGTTAGACAAGTTTATTGCGCAGTCTTGCTTAGGAAATTTGAGGCTTTCTGTAGCAACCACTTGTTAAAGATCATTACTGAACAAAAAACTTTAGCAGTAACATAAAAAGTAATTAAAACAACAGACCCGGATTTCCCCCACTCTGCATTTGTCGTATTCTTTCAGCAAAACCAGGATCCATTTCTCGAAGCCGCTGTGCAAGCTACAAATTGCTTGTTGCCAAAATCAAACACAGAAAATATGACACCTTTCTCAGCCATTTTAATTTTTACAATTCAGCAGAATGTAAATGACATAAACAAGACCTAATAAAACGAATCGGGAAACTTAATTCCAAAAAAAGCTATAATGACAAAGAAAAAAAAAACAACCTGTTGACCAGCTTGCAAAAAATCATTAATACTTCCATGACCAGCCTGATCGCCTCCAGTCCCATCTGATGCTACCAACCCGCTCATCACTTGTTCTATTGCATTTTGAATATTAGGGTCTGCCATTAATTGTGAAGCCATGCCTATCAGTGAGGGGTTATTAAGCACTTGCTCAAAGCCCATCATTCCAGGAAACTGCTAAAAGAAAAACACTGTCGAAAAAACTGTCAGACCCAGTTACAAAATGACATTCTCATTTATTCAAACAGGTAAAATTTTTTCTATCAGATGTGATTTCCAGCTTACTCCTCCAAGACCTCCTGGATTTTGTCTCGCTGCATCTTGCATTTCCTTCACTTTATCCTCCGCAATTTTCAAGTTATTCTTATAACTCTCTTGTTTTGGATCCAATTCTAATGCTTTCTTATAAGCTTCCACAGCCTGCTCATAACGATTTTGGCACGACAGAGCCAGGCTTAAAATAAAAGATCTGTGAAGCACAAATGAATCTCACCTAACAAAAACTGCCTTAGCAATCATAATGTAATGAGGCAGAATTTAGAAGATATTAAGCAGGCAAAAAAATTATCAAATAAAACTTGAAAACCGACCCCATTCTACCATAAGCCTTGCTATATTTCGGGTCTAGCGCCAAGGCCGTGCGACAGTCCTGAATAGCGAGATCATACTGCTCCAGCCGACAATATGCAGCTGCCCTAAAAAATACTTGAAAGAAATAAATTTATATCATAGATAGACTTTCCGTATATATCAATAAATAAAGTCTACACCTTCAATTTTAAAGGCTATCTGTCAAATTACAAGATCACAGCAACTCAATTTCCAAACATGACGACTAAAGCAAAAATAAAAAGATTCACTAATTTTTGCTAATGACCAATTTGAAAAAAACTTTTTTAACACAATACCCCATTTTTAATTACAAACCTGTTACAAAAATATGCCGGGTCTGTATTCAATTTAATTGCTTCATTATACTTGGCAACAGCAGCTTCAAACTGTGATGATTTCATAAACGCATTACCTTCCTCCTTTAGTTTATTAGCCTGAGCAATTTCAGCCTCAGTAGGCTGCGGCAAAGAAGACTTTCCCTGAAAAAATCCCTCGATAACAACCTCAGTTTCTATACATGTGAACGGTTGAAGAACTGTCAACCAAAAAAATTATAATACGTACTGTAGGTAAGCCTTCGGCTGCGACAAATATATCCAGCAAAGGCTTAGATGGTTGAAATGCGTAATCTGCATCGTTTAGCCCAAAAGCACATTCCAAACATTGAGTGGCAACTATAAAGTATAGTTTTCTCGAATCGCCCTAATACCAAAAAGCCAAAGAGCAACAACGGTAACATAAACGAAAACTAAATAGGCAAAGAAACGAGATAAAAATATGAATTTTTAAGATCATCCAGTCCCACCTTCTATAGTTTCCAACTGTTCTTCTGTACATTGTTTGGACGATGCCTTAAGTTTCACAAATTGAATAAACGAAACAACCAAATTCTTCTCATCATTGCTTGCAAAGTTTGCATTTTCTGAAGATGTTTTTACATCCTTCTGAGGCTCACTCATCTTATCACCCTGCAGATGCATCAGTGTATCGTAAATCTCGTTCTCTCTCAACAGATCAAATGCTCGCAACAAAAAAATTTAAATCGTCACAAGCTCCAAATGCTGAACACAATGGTTAAATCTGATCAACAAAAAAGATATTGTCACGAAAGAGTAGGAATGAAGGATAATTGATCACGAAAACAAATAATTAAACAACCAAATAGACACACAAGAAAAAAGAACATAAAGTTAAAACTCCACAAGAAAACAGTCGCTGAACAACTGTAATAAGCAGTAGGAAAATACAGATGCTCAATCGAACACATAGCGCTAACACAAACACTCAAACGATTAACGTATATAATGACAGACTTTTATAGAAACCAGGGGACTGCAGCACTAAGAAAGATGCGGCGTGAAACTATAGGTTAGTCAAGTGTTTCCAAAAATTCGCAATTGTTACCAGAATTGTTGCTGTTTGTTACAGCCCTATAGTTAATGCATCAAAAATCTAACACGCATATTTGGCAAAATGCCAAATCTACATTTTAGCAACGATGAAAATGATGGGAACGGCACTGCCAAGCGACAGTAATTACAACAATATTATAGTTGACAGACTTACCTCTTCGTCCAAATATCACCGGGTGTACAGATATTCCTCTTTCTTTGAACAATAAAATACACCAAAATTGTATGCAGCTGAATTAGATTTGCAGGTTTTAAGCATTACTATTTTCCAATAATATATATGTTAAAACATTACACCGTCAGCCACTAACTGTGTTACGTAGCAAATCCAGAAAAAAAAAAGAAAAAAAAAACGAGACAAATAAATAAGTACACTGAAAACTTTTAAAAACTGCTATATCTATTGCTCTTCGCCTTTTCTTTTTTGTTTCTTTATAAATTGTTTCATAATTTTATTGATTACTCAATGAAGATATTGCTGTTACAAAAAAAGTCCCAACTTTTATGTGTATCTTATGGCTTTGTGTTTAAAAAAAAAAAACATTGATATCAAATGAATATCATTATTTTGAATTACATCATCGTCCAAATTCTTTTTTTTTGTTTTTTGTCTGCTCTGGCTATATGTTGCTGTTTTGTTAATTCTTTACATTTAGTGGCCTTTCTTCAGTATATATCATATGTAATATGACGTTCGTTGCTTTTGATTAACAAATTGATTGAATAACAAGTTTTGAAGAAGTTACATCTAAAGATGAAGAAACAAGAGCAGCAACAGTAGCAGTAACAATAAATAGATTTTTCTTTGAATAATAGTAGATAGTTATCTATATAGTTTATTTTCGGAGAAGTGGAGACAAAGCTGAAAAAAAAATTTAGCGGTAAATGGGTGTTTTATAACAGGTTTACTTTATGTATCATATTTAGTCATAAAAAGAAAAAAACTGGTGTAAATTAATAATTTTAAATTGAAAAATTTTTTTTATTTTCAATTATGTAGTTTTATTTTGTGTATTTGTTTATGAAAAATTTTTTGTCATTAATGATAAAACAATGGGATAAAGTGGTACTGCATCAACTGCCTTTTTTCCACCCATTTAAATGGATAACATTTTGAAAGAATCAGTTGAAATTTTGTTTTTGTTTTACATTTCTCTCCTTTCCCTTTTTTTTTTCCTTTCTTCTCAGGTAATTAACTGCCCGAACAACTTATTCGTATCGATTAAGCTGCCTGCTGCTATCCATAATTAAATAACGTAGCAAATAAATCTTGAAAGTTTTTTCAAGAAATTTTTTGATTTAGTTAAAAGAATTTTTGTTGTTGTTGTTGTTGTTGTTGTTACTGCTATTGTTGGCTTAAAATTTTGATATGTTTACTGTAATCTCTGAACTTTTTTTTTGTTGATAGACTTCAATGATGATGAGCTCATACTTAAATGCGGTTAGTGTTTGGCTGATTGAAAAGTTATGTGTAAACAAATTTTGGAACAGTGTTCAAACGGTTTCATCAGATAAAGAGCTTTACTGAATTGAACACAGTAAAAGAGCACAGCGAAATTTTAATTAATTTCAAAGCAGTGCTATTACCAAAAAGATCATCAAAAAATGTCACTAACAACAATATCATTAAATTATATATATATACGTATGTATATTTGTTTTTCTTTTATTTTAAACACATCAATTAGTTTTTTTTTCCTATTCTCAAATATTCAGTGATCAACTATGAGAAAAAAAAAGAACAATAAAATAAAAACAAAAAAAAAAAAATCATTTCTAATAAATTATTATCGCTGAAATACAGAAATGAAGTATTAGAGGTGGTAGGAAAAATGAAAACCAAAAAAAAAACAAAACAGAACAAAATAAACAAACAAAGGAAATGCTACTCGAACAGTATTGACGACATTCAACCAATAGACCTTGGCTTTTGAAAATTGACAAAGAAAAAAAAAAAAGAATGAAGGAAAATGAAAAAAACACGGCAAGATTAATGACAAATCTTTGTTCAATGTAACAACAACAACTAAAAAAAAGAAGGATTCGTTTCTTCTTCTTCAAATACTTACATACATATTATCAACATTAATAACAGTATTCCCATAACGATAACGGTCTGTTGAATTTCCACTGTTCTTTCTTGACTCAAAGAACAACTCTTAGCATAATTTTTCTTGTTCCTCGCAAATTTTTCTGCTTTTAGACGAGATTTTTAAATTGGAAAACAAAAAAAAGGAGGAAAAAAACAGGAAAAGTTAGGAAGAACAATGGCTACAAGTAGCAGTTTGATAATAGAAAATGGATGTTGAAATTGCCTCCAAAATATCTCCTTCTTGTCTCAGATTCTCTGCTTTTTTTTTTTTGCTATCTTTCAAAATCCAATAAACCAACAAAAGAAAACAGTACAAAAAAAGAAATATGTTTGGAGCACTTGAAAAACAATAATGTTTGACAACCACATGAGAAGACTGTGTAGATGGAGACAAGAAAAAATAAACAATAAAGAAAACAGAAGGAAAAAAAACCCGTTTTATAGTCATTTGGAGGCTTACAAATGAAAAAAAAAAAA